TGCAAAACCATCCTGCTTGCATGGCACAGCACAGCAGAACCATGTTGATTTCTTGGTCAGCAGTTCAATTCCTATCGCTGCTCTCTTTGTGTTTCAGCTGAAATGCAAGTTTCAAAAGTACACCGTCCTTCAGATGAGAAGTTTTAGCCATTGATCCTGTGTGCAAAATGGCCATGGCCAATATGCACGTTAAAGAACGCAGTACACTTTTCGGAAAAGAGTAGGGGATTGTGTTCCGGTGTACTGTCCAATTCATCACCAGGATGACCCTACTGGAAGTAAGTTTCAGGACTATTCTTGGTGTATATTACACCAAAGTAACATGTGTTGTGGAAAACAGAGATCGACATATGAACAACACAAGAAACACGTGCGTATAACATTCCTGCATAGAAACGTGCAAAAATTCACGAGTAGAAAACTATTGACACAATTCGTACCAGTGAAACAGATGAAACATAACTGTTCTGCATAAAATAATTTATTGATTACCAACTTTAAGAAAGTGACACTGCGTGGGAAAGAATTTCAACAATATAGGCCTACTATACATGACATACATTGCCAAGCTTTAAGAGCTATGGTTCATATCGTTAGAAAGTAAATAATATGGTAGTTCTTCAGTGGAAGTTACAGCCATAAATCAATTAAAATGGAAATATAAGAAAATGTTTTAGGGAAATTGAAAGTTGAAAACCATATCAAAAACACTACCAATTAAAATATTATATCCAGATATTCTAACATACCGGTACTGTAATATACAGTATTATGTAATTGAATTTATAAGCATAACAACGATGGTAATGGAAATAATGGACCTTTCCAGAGTGTCATTCAAACTTCTGACCAATCAGAACAAGGCCAGGAAAATGCGCGTCCCACACACGTGTTTGTGTATGTTTTTACACAGTCGTTTTGTGGAACCTTAGCAACAACATCTAAGAGCGTGGCTTAGCGGCGGGAAGGTTCATTAGGAGAGAATTTTAATGACGATGTTAATGAAAATAATGATGGTAATGTTAAATACACCAACGGCGATGGTGGTGATGATAATAAAAAGTGATAATATAATTACGCTGTGATTATTACGATTATTGTGATGACAGCTTATAATGACGATGTGGAAAGATTATAATATAACAAAGATGATTTACAATAATAAATTATGATGATGATAACACGGATACTATGACAATGAGGTTGGTAATTTTATTAACCACGGAAGATCTGCAAATTATAATAAAGATAACACCATTTTAGAAGATACCCATGACTATGATATTCAACAACTCAATTACATCAACGAATATTGCACTCGCGTCTCACAAGAAGTCTTCCTATATTATAACCCTTAATAGGTTCCATTATTATAGGCCTACACTAGCCTGAATAATTATTTACGTATCTTTACTGTGCTATACATATTCCATGACGATCTGGAATGATAGGAATACAAGTGCAATGATAACATATTGCAAACTTGGAAAAAAAAAGAAACATAAAAGATTGCTGATAATACTTTTAAACCCTCAAAACTACAATCAATAAAGCACTATTTATTGACTACCCTTTCTTAATGACAAAACACAAAATTATTCACATCGCTGAACACATTTAATTTCATTATGTATATTTGCCTTGTATGTACGTGAATGTTCAGCTCAAAAGTAATAGTATATGCTCAATTTAATTAAGAAAAATAAATTCTCATGGATTTGTACCTGTCAACTACGATATCCATGGTACAGGAACAGACATTAAAACAATTAAATATGACGATACTTAACTTCAGTATAAACAAAACTGAATCACCTGCTTATATAGCACATACCAATATTAACAAAGGAAATAATAATAATAATAATATAAATACAATATTAATAATAATAATAATAATAATAATAATAACAATAATAATATTAATAATAATCATGATGATGATGATAATAATAAACAACAATATTTTTTTTGGCTTGAAAAAATATTAATCAATGTTGAAAATGCACTATATCTACATCAGTATTAGTAGCAGTAACAGTAGTAGTACAGGGATAATTGTACTCAATCCCAAAACCAGTAATTTGCACAGCTGAGAAACAGAACATCATTAGCAGATAATATTGTCTTCATAAGCTCTCAATCTATCCTCAATGGAACCAAATTAATCATCTTCTCTCTTAACAGACATTTAAATATATAATTGCATTTCACCTTAACCTAAATAAACTGCAGTTCATGCAATAGGAAACAATACCAGGCTCCTCTATATAATGTCAAGCAAGGAAAACCAACTTGTAACTTTAAAAAAATGCCAGCATTACTATTTCTTACAGAATAAAGACTAAGGCACATTTCTTGATGCACAGGAAATATTGAGTTAAGTTGAAAAGTCTAATACTGTATAACAATATTGTGAGTGTGTGTGTGTGTGTGTTAGGAATGGGGGAGGGGGAGGGTTGTCATACATGTTAGATTTTGTACAGTACACATGTTGCCTAGTATCAATTTATGTTATAGATGACAAAGTGGTGAATATGCTTGACCAGTTGCAATATCTACAATTACCCTTTCATGGTCTTAAGAAAACCATAGAAGATTTAATGATGGATGATAACAGAATTTGAAACTCAATCAGCAGCCTCATAAAACGATATCCATCTCCCAGAATTGTTCTTTGAATAAATTGGCATAAACAGTTTGAATTTGTGACAAGTAAACACATCGGAACAATAACTGGCCATGTTCTGCATATGCAAAATTGACTGTATCCATTATACAGTATGAATAATGATTAATAACTACCCAGGACGATAGACAGGTTGCAGAATGTTACTAACACTGTTCTAGCAAATAAACTGGCAAATTTTAGAGGATGGAAACAATGGTATAGAAATTCACTAAAAATGATGACATAGAACTAAATAAATTTAATTTCAATACAGAAACTATGACAAATATTATATAAGACAAAATAAACAGCAAAATCGGAAACAGTGTAGATCATTATTAAAGGCTTTAATTATGTTATGGAATGCAAATGAGGAAAGTTAATAAATATAATGGAATGTAATTTATCAATATTTCAAAATAATATGTTATAATATCTTGGAAAATTAAGGATATTATTATATAAAGGCAATTCAATTCAGCTCATGATCTTCACTATCATCATTACCACCACCACAACTGTATTTCAGTCAAATAGGCAGCGGCTGCATGCATTCAAAGATTTACTAACATCTAAGATGAATTACCGTAACAAATGACCATTTAAAATCACATTAAGTTGGAATATTAATTCTTATCATTGAACAATGAATTGTTCATGTATAATCTCTTCTCATGAAATGGACACATTTGTGAAGGTTTTCATGTGTGTATATGTACTGATTTAAGAGCCAGGAGGATATTGACGTATATAATTATTAAATATATTTTGAATGAAATAATAAGAAAATCAGGAGCTGTTCTCTTATTCCTAATTTATCTGGGCCTTAGGATAATGTGCTCAACTTTAAATACGAGGGTTTGTGGTATAGTGGTTTTGGTGGCGGTAATGGTTTAATTTCTGTCTGTCATAGTTATTTTAGGTCACATTTTTGGTTTAGTCTTAGCTTTCTTTTCTCTCTGCTATTATTTTACTAATTTGTTTTCCAGTTCATGTTTAATGCATAGATGCTTGAACATGATACACTAAAAATGTAAATATCATTATCTCTCAGATTACTGACTTAGGAGCAGACAACAGGTAAATTTAAAAGTCAACGACAAAAAGAAAGAGAGAAAAA